ATGCTGATTTAGTGAGCTCGTTTAATCGTCGCACTGAAATTGTCCGGCGAAAATGCAAAGTTTATATTGATATACGTGACAAAAGTTTCGTATTCTGCTCACAAAGCTTTCGATCGATTTAAGGGATCGAATCATGTAATTGATTCAGCTTATCACCTGTCAGTTGTATAGACTTCAACTCCTTGGTATATGGCTGCCAGTCGACTTAGTATTCTCGCAGAGCTACCACCGTGGAATTATAAAATAATATAGAAATCACGTGCTTGACATCGGTGTCACACTGTAGTCGCAAACTTAGGGGTTTAATTCAGGTAATGATGAGTATCTACCAATGATATAGGTTCATATAGACTACTTCTGGACTGTACGCTGACTCAGTTACCTTGTGGAATAGTCAGTATTATTGTAATCAGAAATTCACAAGTTTGAGAACGTCATCGTTCTGTACTCAGGAGAGAGCTTCCCATTGATGTGATATGGGTTAAATCAAATAGTTGATTTAGATTACCACCGTCCATTTATACGGATTGAAAGCGGCGAAAGCAGCACTGACAGCAACCCGAAATCTGCACTTAAACAGCGTGCACCAGAACAACCATTTCCGTTTCAGTTGGTCTTAACATTTCGACGTGACATTACTGAGTCTTCTTGGCCATCTTATCAGAAAAATGTATGGAGAAAAAGCAAGGATAGGTACGCTCACAAACTGCCATTTACAAATGGAGCGTTTCATTTTGATGCAGTGAGTAACACGATTGAAGAAAATATCAATCATGAAACGCGTCTGATGTTGGAACGCTGATGATTGAGGGAATTCTTTGCACCGCGTTGACAGGAAACGATGCTAATCAGAGTTCCAGACGTGTCGTAATGGAATGCAAGGGCAAATTCACCAGTGGCGCAGCAAGCTGTAATTAACCATTACGTTACCTTCCGGAAAAGAAATCATCCGATAAAATCGTTTCCCCCACACTGCGATATCAAATAGTTGTCGACTGTTCGTGCATCCAGCTGCAAATCACGACCTCGCTTGCTAAAACCATGTGGGCAGGAAACCTCACACAGCTGTTAATCAATCCTTGCGAAAGTTACATCTGCTGCTTTTATGCTGTTGCTATAAAAGCAGACTAAATATTGTCAGCATTGGTCTTGTAATTATTTGTACGCCTTCTTTCGTTTACGTCGTTAGTAACTTCATGAATGTTTTCTGCGTAAAGAAACGACCTCACCTACTCAAGGAATATAACGTTACAATTGTTTAGGTGAAAAAAGATCAAATCACGCTGATGGTTAAAAAGGAAGTTCAGAAACAAGCCTGGCAGTATGTTACCAATCAGGACCAACGTACAAAGGAGAAGAAATTGAAGTTCAGTGGATGATTCGTAAGTGAGTAATTGTATTTAACGTGGTATTGTTTAAGGACCTCGAAGCCAGACAAAGATGAAGATCCTAGTGAAAGCCTAATGAAGCTGATGAAGCAGATGTACAACGAAGGTGACGACGACGTGAAACGGACGATCTCGAAAGCTTGGTACGAAGCGCAGACGAAGAAAAATTCTCCGGGAGATCTCTTGGACTGTGATTGATTGCAGATTTACTAAATATGATGTTTTCCGTGTGAATTTTAAAACATTCTCCAAATTATTGTTTTTCATTTGGAGTATTTTACGGCTTTTTAATTCCCGACAACGTACGAAGAAAAAAGTCTTTACTGCTGCCAACCATCCACTGTTTAGGTCGCTGCAGGAGTAAACCTTCAGAACTACTTCGACCTTTAATATAGGTCGTTATTATAGCATTGCATTGCTTCAGTAATAGGTTCAGCAGTTTCATGATATAATGTAGGCTCATTCGTTTTACAGACGGTTTTGTGGTATTCCCTATAGTTTTGCAGGAGTTGGGTGTAGAGACAGTCATGTAAACGCTTGTCCATAAATGCGGAAACGTATATTGGAATATTAAAAATGTGGATGCCGTTTGGCGAGTTTCAAATAGTTTGCCTCAAGAAAAACAATTTATCAACTGTCATAGATAAAAAATTCTGCTTATGCAAACCGCTACCTCCAAGCTACGACGGCCGAACATCCCCCAACGTTTCTAAAACTTGACACCTAGAGGACGTCGTCAGTCAAGGCAAAGGACGCAACACTATGCTGGCGCTGGACGAGACATACGAGAGTTTTTCTGAAGCAGCATTCAACACTGTCTTTTTGCCATAAAGCGTATGAAAACATGGAGAACATGACGTATACGAACGAACCACATGTCCAGCTCAAGCATCGTTGCATATCCCACATCGCATTACAGTTTAAGATATTGTGTTGACAAACTAGTCTGTGACGGTATTACCATGAGTAACTGTTGAAGATCATAAATCTGGGCTATCCCGCTGTTTAAACTGTTCGCCACAAACAGCGATGGCGCAAAAATTACGCAACAATGGCACTGACTGTCTCAGAGCGATTACAGCTGAGTGCATGCATCCTCTGAAAAATACGCCCAGCCATCAAGCTGTCACGCTGCCGACCAATTCAGCAACTTAACTCCATCAAGCGACTTCAGTAAATCTTTCTTGTGCCGAAGGCCGAAACATCGGATTAAAAGTAAAGTTTTGTCATGACTAACGCCATTGAGTTGCAGAAGGTGGTGAATTTAAATATTACTGGTAAGTATTAGAAATGGAGTTCCAAGGATATTAGTAAAAGTGCTGACCTTAAACGATTCAGGTATCACAGTAAGAATCATTATCAAAGTAATAGAGCTGAAAATTAATTGCAGATAGAATTTTCTCTCAATCCTCTTCAGCAAATGCAGCAAAATCAAAACTCAGAAGAAAGCATCCGGTAAGAAATCACTTTTATTTAGATGTCGCAGCTGCAATCATTAAGTCAGCTATAGAAAAAATAAAAATACGCCGTAGCCTAAAGGTACCGGTATCACGCTGCATTCGCATGAGCATCGAATATTCTGGAATGACCACGTCAAAACTGCCAGCTCCTATGGGGTTAACAGTCAATCGGTTTAATACCCATTTATCGATTGCGCGTTGCAGTACGGCGACAGAAATTTCTTCCTCAGTACGATTGGCAGCAAATAACTGAAGTTCAAGCTGCGATGTCCATTCGAAGAAAAACTTCTGGTAAACACAAACATATGGCACATGTACAATTCCCATGGTCCAATCCGAACGTCCAGAAAAACAGGACTCATTAACCAGAATTACTTCGACAATCCAATCACCACTGTCTAGTGGTAACCTGCTGAGCAGCTGAAAAAGCGGTGGACCGCAACCTTGTTCTGTTCTTGGGATGGCAGCTGGAAACAAACATTTACAGATGAGGATGCCTGTAAATAAAGTAACAAGTAAGTAAAGTAAACCCTAAGGTTAAACTGAGGCTACCGTGGTTAATGGACCTTCTTTTCAGTGACCCATGTCTTCTAACGACAATTAAGTTTGTTCATGTAAAATAAAGCAATCGAAACTTCGGTGTAGGTGCTGGCAGTCGGTTCTGTCAGACAAACGAAATAGACAAAGCATTTTCTCTCTAAAGCGCGACGCTCTCTTCAAGGGGAATAATCTGAAAATTAACAGTTAGCAATACAACACGCAACTTAAAAACATGAGTACCGAGCGCAACTCCTCCGAGGCTTCATTCTGGCACGAAACCCCTCTCGGCGGATGACGTTTCTTCGTGGTGGTGCTTTTACCAACTGTACAGAGGGAGGAAAGAGCAGGAAGGTTCAGAGTAACGTTCCTCGTACATCTTTTTACTGACTGCCTATGACCCATAAAGGACTCCGTTCAGTCCGCCAGCTGCCATCGAGAAACCACTACGTGGTAACGTTGTGTACATTCATAGTAACTGACTCGTGACTCTAGAGGCTTCAGCACTAAACTTTCAATCGACTAATGGAATGTTGTGAACAACAGCTTAGCTTTCTTATCCTCTGAAGTACATAAAGCGGTACGAGCACCATCTCTACAGGAACAACAAGGAGATAAAATGCGCAGTCGCTAAGCAGTTGTAAATGTTGGTTTTACCTAGACATGTTTTACAAGTGCTATCGAAATAACAAGTGAATCTACTGTACTCGAAGTGTGCTTCTACGCGGAAGTGCTGAAATCCAATACTCATTCTAATTTCCGTCAGTACAGCAGAGTGATAATTCACAGTTCCTTGCAACGAACATGGTCATCAACGCTCAGCTGTGCCATGTAATGATCAGAATTGCTCAGTCGGTAGAGTGTCAGACCCTCAGAAACAAGAGATCCCAAACTCGAGCATCAGTCAAGTAACTCGTCATTCGTCCTTCCGAGGTTGATAAATGAGAATCACTCTGTAAAAAGGAGAAATAAAGGCCTTTAATAAAGCTAATTCTGGTTGATGGCCTAAAAACAAACATCAATGCAACACCATAAGCTTCATTAAATGATAGATGCCACAAATGGTTCCCAATCATAAACGTGTAAGGAAGACTGCCATCCCTTATGGTTACTTCTTTTCCTTTCCTTCCTGTGTTATGAGAGCAACAAAATCTTTAGCCTCTTTTCCCTGTAATTGAACTATTTTCTCTCAATTCCAGGAATGCCGCAGCGCTTCCAATCCTCCTC